AAAAATTACTTACAAAACCACCTGATTATATCACAGCATTTTTGGCCCTAATGAATTATATAAGTGTGACCTTGAACATCACATGTGCAGGTCCGTGCTTCAAAAAGTATACATAAGTCTAACTGTGATATACATACAGTCATGGCCAAATGTTTTGGCAGTGACATAAATTTTATGTTTTGCAAAGTTCGCTGCTTCAGTATTTGTAGATTATTTTTCCACAAGTTTCTATGGTATGCTGAAAAACAACGATAAGCATATCATAAGTTTTAAAGGCTTTTATTGGCAAAAAAATATAATGAGTCAATATTTACAGTGTTGACCCTTGTTCTTCATAACCTCTGCAATTCGCTCTGGCATGCTGGATATTAGCTTCTGGGACAAATCCTGACTGATGGTGATCCATTCTTGCCTTATTAGTTCTCGGAGTTGATCACAATTTGTGGGCTTCTGCTTGTCCACTCGCCTTTTGAGGACTGACCACAGGTTCTCTATGGGATTGAGATCTGGGGAGTTGCCTGGCCACGGATCCAAAATTTCAATGTAATGATCTTCGAGCCACTTCTTTATCACTCTTGCTTTGTGACATGGTGCTCCATCATGCTGGAAAATGCACGGATCATCACCAAATTGCTCATGGATCGTTGGAAGAAGTCGCTCTTGCAGGACGCTTTGATACCATTCTTTATTCATGTCAGTGTTTTTGGGCAGAATTATGAGTGAGCAAACTCTCTTGTTTGAAAAGCAACCCCACACATGGATGGTCTCAGGATGCCTCACTGTTGGCACAACACAGGACTCATGGTAGCGTTCACCTTTCTTCTCCAAACAATCGCTTTTCCAGATGTCCTAAACAGTCAGAAAGAAGCTTCATCAGAGAAAATAACTTTGCACTAGTCTTCTGCTGTCCAATCCTTGTACTTCCTGCAGAATTTCAGTCTGTCCTTGACGTTTCTTCTTGGAGAGAAGTGGCTTCTTTGCTGCCCTTCTTGACACCAGGCCGTTGTCCAAAAGTCTTGGCCTCACTGTGCGTGCAGATGCTCTCACACCAACCTGCTGCCATTCCTGAGCAAGCTCTGCACTGCTGGTGACGCGATTCTGTAGCTGAGTCCTCAGGAGGAGACGTCCTGGCGCTTGCTGGACACTCTGGGACGTCCTGAAGACTTCTTCACTCCAGTCCAACCTCTCTCCTTGAAATTCTTGATGATCTGGTAAATGGTTCTTTCAGATGCAATATTCTTTGTAGCAATTTCCTTGCATGTGAGGCCATTTTGATGCAACGCGATGATGGCTGCACATGTTTCTTTGGCGGTAACCATTGCTAACAAGACCACAATGATTGGAAACGCTTCTTCCCTCCTTTAATAGCAATCAGTCTGCTCTTACAATCTAATTAGTATGATAGTGATTTCACCTGACTAGTACTCATTCACACTTTCACATATGCTGCTGATATGATTAGTCAATTAATGTTAGCTGGTCATTGTGTGTCAGGATAAAAAAAAACAGTGAAATTTGTTTGTTTTTTTTGTGAAAAGTTCATTTTTTGGCCAATGAAGCTTTTAGCAATTATTTCAAATGCATCTGATCACTCTACACAATAATCTAGAAACAATGTGAATGAACACCACAACAGCTTAAGCAGCAAATTTTGCAAAACACAAAATTTATGTCACTGCCAAAACTTTGGCCATGACTGTACACAACATGCACCTTTATACTCTGGTATAAGCCATACTCAAAAGTAACTGAGATAAATATTATTTTATCATAAAAATTTATTTCTAAAGAAACGGTAAGTGTACATTTTAGCATCATTAAATATTCATTTAATTTTGAACAATATAAGTACTGTTTTATAATATGAACACATTTTGTTTTGCAAAATATTTTGTTTGAAAAATTTGTTTGTGCTATATTTCTTTAAATGTCTAAACACAAATAGATAAATATATTGATATTAAGTAAGATATTAAGATATTTTGCTATTATAATGTAAAGACATTCACACAAGTCTGTCTCTATTGTGGGACTATTATGTATTAAAAATGAGTGAATTGAATAGTGGCCATCACTCCCATAGAACTTTCTACAATACCTGAATTCTGCAGCACATTTGAAATAAATAAATAAATAAATATAAAATACATTAAATGAAACCCGTATTGAGAAATTAATCAAAACAGGCCATGGAAAAATGTTTCTTAATATTATCATGTGATAAACTAGTTCTCAAGCAAGGGCCAAAATGTGTTTGTAATGGAAAGGACACGTGTGTAGTATTTATTTACATGTTTTAGTACTGATATTGGCAGTGATGTTGCAAGATAAAGAAAGATAAACAAAAACATGAAAATGTTCAAAGATTTCCATCTAGAATGTTTTTAAAGGTTACCATCACACAGAACCGCCCCTCATTGGTGTAGCACTATTTTTTCTTCCTCTTTCTCACTCTCCATGTTTCTCACATCGCATTAAGTAGCACATAGAGCAGTTCTGGAAATCGTTTTGGTAGTTGCCCACCACAGAACCAGTAATTGGGTGAAACGTCTGGTGTAAACGGGTAAAGCTGCGCCCAAGGAATCAATAGCAATGCTTCAGCAACTGAGCAGCGAAGTGCAGTTGGGCAAAACAATGGTTAAAAGACTGTTGCTTCCCCCTGCTTGACAAAGACCGGTTCAGCATCCTAACCAACTGTCTGCTTTGCCACTGCTTGTCCAGTGTATATCACATATGTTAAAATGAATGAATGCAAATGAATGCCCCAAAAAGAGGTAACATATAAGGTAGCATCCACCAAAATATTGCTGCCAAGGCACTAAAACATGTGTGTTTAAGTCATAAATAAGATACACTATTAAAAATAAAGTTCTAACCTGGCATCTCTGGTTCCATGAAGATCCTTTAACTCATGGAACCTCTCCATTCCACAAGGTTCTTTTTAGTGAATGTTCCTTCCAAGAAAAAAAAAATTGTTCTTTTAAGATCTGTTAACAGAAACATTCTTTAGGGAACCAAAAAATGGTTCTTCTATAGCATTGCTGCAAAAAAACAAAAAACAAAAACTTTTGGAATCTTAATTTTTAAAAGTGTAATATTTCATCTTGACACATTTTGTGTAGTGTGAGGTTCTCAAACCAGAAAACAAGAGGCAAGTAATGCAAGCAAAAAGCATTATGCATAATGCCACTGCAAACGGTTAAGTAACATGCAGGGTCAGGGTTTAAAAAGCGCACCAATCTGAGGTTGTGAAAAGAACAGACGAAGTAGAGCACAAATAATGGATTAAAGGTGCCATAAAGACATGTACGATTAAAACCAACCCAAATAATCGCACTGTCATTGCACTTATTAGGACAAATGAGATCCTTCCATTGACCTACATATATAATATATAGTTGACAACTACAAAGTCAGTTTCAGGATTTGAATATGCAAATGCAAGAGCTCTTACAGTATATGTGAACAAAATGAGGCTAAGTCATAATCTAGCAGAATACAAAACATAGATGCAGACACTGTGCCATCTGTCTTATCATTCACAGTATACTCTTCTCCAGAAAACTGAAAGCACCTGGAGCACAGAGACTAAAGCCGATCACAGGAGGCCAAGTAACACAACTGTGTTTTCCTGACCCTGACATGGCCAGAGTGTATTACAGTGGTGTCCGGGCATAACAACAAAAACCCTTTTGGTTAAATTATGTAACAATATCATCCCCTGCAGCCTTGTACTTGCCTCGTCATTCAATCACAGCATCCAGAAACTGTTAATGCACAATCTCATGTCTGGACTTTGTCTGCTCAATGTTTACATAGCCTTGTGTTACACAGAACAGTCACACATTTGATCCTTTGTGAGGTGAACCATCTCTGCTTCATTCTCTTAAGAAAATGTATCTGTTATAGTTGTAAAATTGAGCAGACCTCCAGGCAACAAATGCAAAGTTATAGGCTTGTGTGGGAGGGAAAATTGATTCATGTGAGAGGAAAAAAGCTGAATGCATTGCTCAGACCTAGATGAAATCATTTTAACATCTCAGATCAATTTCAATCCATGTTTCTCTATGTGCTGCATATTGCTCTTGTTAATTACTGCATTAAAGGGGAATCTGCTGTAACCTATGTTGAAAATATAATAATTATAATCAAAGTGAAGGATCATTAGTGACTGAAAACTGTATAAACATTTTAGGTTTGCCAACTAAATGAAAGAGGAAGAAAACTTTAAGCAATGGTGCTGGTGTGTTACTGTAGTCAGGAAACTGGCTGTGAGTTTATTCCAAGCAGTATTCTCTGAATTCCTGGTCCTGTCTTGCAAATGCCAAAATCACACCAGAGGATTTCCAGTGCATCCCAGAAACTGGAAAGGCTATTGTAAAGAATACTCTTGTGCCAGAAAGGTCAAAACATCAAGCAGTTCTTAAACATTCTCAGCAGGCAACAGAAAGGCAAAAATGTCACGATTTGTGAAACTGTGAATATGAGAATGAACAGATGTTTCTCACACAAACGCCTGGGAACCAATAGGTTTACCATTTTGAATTATAACTGCATCAAACCGCTATCTCATATCTCTCCGCTATCACGCCCCCTCGTGGACAAATAATCAATCGTGAATAAACAAAACAATATGCATGAAAACTTAGAGCTGCCACAGACTTCCAATAGTGTGTGGGAGCAGCGCGTGATCTGCTCAATTATTTTTGCAGACATTAAGTGATTTGCGTTTGTGCAAACCTACAAGAATTATCGACGAACACGACGCAGAATAACATCACGCTTCATGTAACCAAACATCGTCTACCTTACACTGTACAAAACCAACGCGTCTGAGTGCGTGGATTCGACCACAGATGTGCCGTGGAGCGATACTGTGGACACGCGTGGATCTGTTGCCATGCTGACAAGAAACGAACAGGTTATTTTAATTGTACCGTTGTGTCGTGAAGGATTCAAAGGCTTCGGGTTCCTGCTGTTCAAGTGTAGTGAATGAATGATGAAGATGCGGCACCTGTAACCTGCACTGAGTCTCCAGTTCCGGTCAATTAAACGGTATTCAGAAGACTGGAAACCGAGTGCACTGGTAAGGTTTCTAAATCTTTTCATTGCGATCAGCTGTGTTCTTATGTTGACGTTCTGGGTCATTTATCTCTCAGAACTTAGTTGGACTTGGTGTACTGTAGCCTAATAATGGTTAAAAATGGCTGGTGATAGGTTCACCTGTATAGGTCAACTAGGTGTGTTTTTGCTCAAGATGCATAACCTCAAATTACTCCAGGAGGGACTGAACCTGTCACTTTGATCAAAGCTTCAGCTAAATGATTAATAGTCTGTAGCATAATAAATGCAATGCATGTTATAACATTTTTTTTTTCTTTCATTTTCTTTTCTTAAAAAAAATTTTTTTTAATACAAGCCAAATATATATGCATATATGAAAATCATATAAAGCAAAGCATATATGAAACACGAAACAATTCCTGACACAGCAAAAATGTAAAGAGGATAATAAAGTGTACACATATATACTGTAATATTAAAACGTGTGACAACTTGCCCCAATAAAAAAGTAACAACTTGCCTCAACCTGAACTTGCCTTGTCAGTTTTCACATTTTAATCACCTTTTTCACTTTTTAAAAAATTGAAATGCACGAATATTTCATGATTTATATGAGGTTATAAAAATTGCATTATAGTATGTATACAAGAATTATACATTGCTGTTGATACAGTTTTGCATGTGTCACACTGCAGGACAATGCTGTCACTTCTGGGCTTTTCATGTAAACTACCCATTTATTCTAACACAGGAAAACATAAGAGTGTCGTTTGTCACAACTGTAATTATAGACAGGTGAGGGATAATAACAGCGATAGATAGATAGATAGATAGATAGATAGATAGATAGATAGATAGATCATGAGCCTTGTGAGTAGTATCCAGTTTGGCTGTCTTGGCAATGCATCTTTATAAGAACCGATAAACACGGCATCTTTATCTTTATTTCGTATAAGGTGGTAAATTTGTGATGTGATCTATGAATAAATATATTTCATGTTAATCTGTCATCAGCAGCAAAATCACAATCATTTTTGGAAATAAAATGACTGAAAATGAAAATAATTTTTTATATATATTTAGAACAGAAGTCTAGAAAGCCAGCAGATATATTCAGGGCAATTAAGAAAAAAGTAAAAATATTACTTAACTACTTGTTATTCATCTGACTCATTTATCCAAAGTAACCCACAGTACAGTAATTACTGGGAGAGTCCCCCTGGGGCAATCTTGGGTTGGGCACTTCCCTCGAGGGTGCAATGGTTAGAGGATTCATGGATCATCCGTAACAATTTGATCCTGCGACCTCTGGGCAGACAGCCTGTATCTTTAACCACTACACTACCCCACCCCCCACCATATGTTGTTGATTAGTTAGTTGTTGATTTAGACATGTAAAATAATACATTGTCAGCATTGTATTTGTTGTAATGAGGTTGCTGTTCACTGAAGGCACTTACGTTTTGTTTTATGGCTTCTAATAAATTGCAGACATGTGAGGTATATTTAGAGCAACAATCTGGATTCTGTCCATGAGTTCTCGCTCTCTTAAGAGAATGTGTACTATGGACAAAGAAAGCAAGCAAGAAAGAGAAACACTATATGACATCATGCATCTGTGTTTAAACTTTGACCCCAAACCCTAACTCCTCCCTTACTCATGCTCTCTCTCTCTCTCTTTCTTGCAGTCAGCTATTTCACTTCATGCCCTGACAGGTTAAGGAGCAGGAGGGGAGGAGATAAAGGACCAGAAAAACCGGTAAGCAGCTGGGAGCCGTGGAGAATATGCGAAAGGAGGAGTAGATTTCAGTCTGGCCAGCAAAACCATAAGACCTGTGAGGAGGAAGAAATGAGCAACAACAGAAAGACGTGAAGAGAGAGTAATACGTTTGAGGTGAGACTGAACACTGCCATGGAGAAAACATAAAACCGCATATTTCAAAGGTAAGATTTTGTGTTTTCTTTCTCTTTCACTGTCTTTAACTTTATTTCTTTATTGCTTAGGACAGTTTAAGTTAAGGGTTGGGTCAGCACCTTGAGTCATTGGCATATCCGACCTCTCGCATTAATCAGGGGACAGATATGTTCTACCCCTCTTTCTATTTCTGTTTCTCTCTCAACCTTTCCTTCTCGCATCTCATGGAGTTAAATGCCAAGCTTTCATTTAAAGGTGAAGTGTGTAATTTCTGTGCCGCTAGCATCACCAAACGGAATTGAGAAAATAATGACTGTTTTCAATCGGTAAAAGGTTCCACGTTTTTGGAGCATAATGGCTAAACGCAGCACTGCCAGATCGCATGAGATTTACATTACAGTAGCCTAAACCAAGAAACCATTCATAAAGTAAGCCACTCACGAATTAAACTCTGTGATTAGTGTAAACACAGTGGTACTACAAAACATTATCTGCATCCTGACCAGTCAGACACAGCAACATTGGCACAACCAATAGTTTGGGGTTGCACAATCTGTTTAGCCGACCAATACATTTTTGTATAACCTTGTATTTTCCTTTGTAAATGATTCACTTCATTTTTATTTGAATTATTCCGTATTTTTTATTTGCTGACTTCTGAAGCACTTTGAGCTTCATTTTATTTATGAAAGGTATTATTATGATTATGACTTGTGTCTGCATATTAAACTGGGTTAGGGAAAGTATTTAAACATGGGCTGAATTACACCCTTCTCCTCACACTTTTTGTTTGTTTTGTCTTACAGGGCTTCTGACTAGCAGCATGACTTGGACCTACGGAATTGCAAAATACAAACACACCTGTAGCCAACAGTCATCTGAGGACACTCTCTCTGATTCTCCATTCCGGGAACCTTTCAGTAGCAATCATTTGCATACAGCCCAACTGAACCCCACTACCCTTTCTGTGTTAACTGCAGTGCAAGCTGTTTAAAGAGATCCCAAGAGCCACTTGCTTTGCTTGTTCTATTAGGGACTATGGAGGCGGATACATCCTCATGGTCCGTCCCTGTTCATCTCCTGAGGGCCAGATGAGGAGCATGTTACCTAGCTTGTTACGGGGCCAGCGGTTCAACTGCCGTGAATGGGCCCTCGAGAAACTACAAAGATACCTAGAGGCACGAGACGCCACAAAGAACGTGGAGGGAACGGCCCGTGTCTCTCCAGGGGTCCTAGTGACTGGGGGCCAGGGCACGGGTAAGACGGCCCTCCTCACAGAACTGGTTTGGCCCCAGTCAGAAGCATGCAGGGCGGCGGGGTTGGCATCACGGTGTTTGGCCTGGCATTATTGCCAGCGAGAGGATGCAGGCAGTATTGAAGTGTGGAGATTTGTACTGGGGCTGGTTGAACAGCTGAAGGAAAGTGCACTTCTAGGATCAGACTATGTGAAACAGTTAAGCAGTGCTGCTATTGCTGCTGTCCTGGAGCCCCTCCACTGCCAAAGAGAACCTGATGACACTTTTAAAAGGTTGGTGAATATGTCACGGTTCATACATCGCAATGCAATGAGTTTTAGAGTTTACTTTTTTTAGACAGCATATTTCCTCTGAACGGTAGAAAAATTATATGAATTAACACAAATTATTTTAATAATTAATGAGTAAATACAACAATATTGTTTCAAGAACCTTTAGTATCAGTGGAATATCATGAGAAACATTTTACACCAATATATGATATATTCAACACTGCCATAATATTACTTCTTAATTTTCAGTAACTATTTAGTCTTTTTTTTTATTTTTTATCATTTTTATATAATGTTCAAAATATAACATTTTAATATAGATTTTCATATCTTAAAAATTCACAATTTCAGTACTTCTAAAAACCACTTTTTCCTTTTCTCTGAATTTCTCCGATTTTTCTCTTGCTTTTGCTCTGCAACAAATCACTCACTGTTCAAGATCCCTTTGAACTCATTTCTGTCAGCCTTTAGTTCTCCAAGCATTTCATGTTTGCTCTCCAAGCATTACTCCTGTGAGAAATCCCAGATGTTTCACAGCTAGGCATTTGGTGTACCTTACACACTCCCTCTGTATTTCACATTGTTTGTGCAAGGAAAATAACACTTCAGTGGGGCCTTTAAATGACTTAGACATTTTGTTGCGTTTCTTGTCTAACATTTTAGCATTTAACATGGAATTTTAAAGATCAAATAATCAATTATACTTTAAATTCATGATATTTTGTGTAACAGATAAATTGTCATTGCAGAAGACGCTTGTTTTGAATATAATCCACACCACTTTCTCTTAGGTTTTTTTTTTTAAATTAGTGCATTTCTGTGTGTGATATTTGGACAAGAAAGCCAGAGGAAAAAAAACTTATAATTTTAAAATCATGTATGCACTTTCTTGCATTTTCTGGTTATTCATAGTAAGCTGATGTTTTTTTATGTTTGTTGTGAATGTAAATGCACTCAGTGGCATCTTGCTTAAACAAGGTTTCTTCTATTGGTTCCTACTAAACCCTCCCACCCCCTATATTCTCCTCCTCCATCGTATTTTCATCTGATACCCCTCAGAAAGACTTTGTCAAAAGCAGGAAAAGGGGCTTATTGTTCTGCTTTTCTGCCACATATATTTATTTATTTATTCCTCTCATCGCAATAATGAAGCCTATTCACAGTTCTCACAATAGCCCAGCGTTCACTGCAGATGGATGATGCTATTTACAACCTTCGGGGGAAAAAAGGTAAAGACCGAGAATCGTGCCACTAGTTTGTGTCCCTTGGTGAGGTCGCCATACTGACAACTTTCTTTATTCTCTTTATCTTCTTTCAGTGTTTGCTCTTACGTTAGTTCTTCCAGTTTTCCCTTACAGATCTGACGTACAGGCCCACATTTCACATTTGCTTTACACATGCTGACAAACTGTTGTGATGTTTTTCTCTGGTCCTGGTGAGAGAATATATGAAGGGTTAGTTTAGGGGTGAAATGCAAGCGTCAATCCCTGCTGTATTCAGCTTGCTCTCTGATGTACATAAGCTATCATTAACACTGTTTAAAAGACAAGCAATGATGAGGACAGTTTTTTTTTTTTCAGGAAATAAATTTCTGTCATAAGGAAATAATTATGACTTGTTAGATAGAGATATAGTTGTATTAAACAGAAAATTCCTTTAGGATTATTGTATTGTAAGTAGACTAAATCACTAAATGTTTTGCCAAGCAAAATGGAATTGTATTTATAGCAACTGTAACCTATTCTCAGTTTAAGTTCGGACTTCATCTGATTTTGGCAGTGAGGACTTGCATATGATTCCAGCTGAATCAATGGTTGGTTACAAATCCTGTAACCTTCAGCTCCTTGACCATGACCAAAACCCTTAAACCTTTCATTTTGTCCACTCCTGAAGTGTAAAAAGTGTCACATGACATAACTCTTCTCTCAGGTTTGATCTCTTAATGCTTCTCTGTTTGACAGCTTTAACTAGCATGACCATTCTTGGGGTCAAGACAAGCCCATAGCTTGTCTTTGTGGACAGAATGAGTCAGGAAGTATTTATTTATTTATTAGGTTGTTCAGCTCAAGCTGTGATCTGTGAGCATATTAAAAGGGCATTAGCGCAACAAATTATGTGAACTCATGTGTTGGAGACAAGAAACCGATAAACATGGCATGATTATATATTTTATGGCGGGAGTACGAGACAGGAAGTTCAGTTCTGAACTGTTTAACCAAAATTGACAAAATAAGGTGTGCTGTTTAAAACGCTATACTATTAAAGAATACAAGTGTTGATACTCATTATTATCAGAATTTAAGCTATGATAGATTTAAGCTAAATAGAATGCAACGTTTCCATTAGGTAAAGTATTTTTTCAATTCATTTTCTCTATGCGATTAAATTAAATTAAATTAATAAAAAGTTTAAAAAAGTCCATGGGCCAAATTAAGCATTTAAGAAAAAATCTGTGAAAATTAGAAAAAATAACAGGGGTACAGGGGGTAAGATATTTGATTATGCATTGTGGAATATATATTAAAAATTTGTAATTTAAAACAAGACTTCTAGTCATTGATTATGAAAATAATAAATATATTTTAAATGTATTGGAAAATAATAGTCTAAATGTGTTTGAAGTTAAAAGGGGTCCTATTATGCTCTTTTACAAAGTCTTGATTTTGTTTTGGGGGTGTACTAGAACAGTCTCTCATACTAGGTTGTTCGAAAAACACATTATTTTTCACATATTTTACATTATTACAACACCTCTCTCCCCAGTCTGGCATGAACGGCTCGAATAGTTCCTGTATTAAATGACGGCCCGCCTTCTGAAATACGAAATGTGTTGTGATTGGTTAGCTGGGCCAGTGTGTGTTGTGATTGGCACCACTCTGCGCCTGGTCGGGAAACGTCATACCCCTTACCATTACTGTGAGCTTATGTGTAAATATTGCGTCAATATAAAAATCAATTTGAGCGCGATTTAAACCCGGATGATTGTAACCACTCTAAGTTCGTCTGCCTTGGGAAAGCTAGTGTGTCTCCGACATAGTGATAACACTCGTTGCCTTCTCTAGTGCAGCTCAACCAGGTCTCGTCCCATTCGTCGATATTTGTGATATCACAAATCCCGGAAAATATGCGTTGTAGT